GATGATCGTAGCTGCCCCCCTCCCACCCCACACCCCAAGAGACCGCGCTCCTGTCTACAGAAGTCACCCATGAGTCTCCTTTAAAGTTGTTTTCTTTAACCCTTTCTTCAATGCAAAATGCAACAAGCCAGAGACCAAGGGGTGAAGGTAAGTGTGCTGACAGATCCATGCACAGGCGCGTTCCACCCCAAACTCACCCAGAGAATAGCACCTTCAGAGTATATTCAATAGGCATGAAATGCAAGAAATATATCTATCTATATAGCTAGCTAGATCGCCAGATCTTTTATGTGACACGTGGAAGGTTTCGGCGCCCCTCCCCCAGTTTAACTACAAGGCCAAAGCCGCCTGACCCAGGCGGACCTGCCCTAGCCTCCTGTTTGGTACAAGTCGTGCTAATCAAGGTAGTTAAATTGCATGTGCAATATGAGACTTGGGGGTGGCCCCGCCTCTGGTGGAAGAAGAGACCGCCAGAGGGATGTGACAAAAAACGACATTTCGCCCACACTTTGCATTTTATAGAAGCAAGAACACTCCCCACGCGCCTGCCCTGTGTGTACACAGGGCGAGGAAATTCTCGATTACAAAGCACCAGCGCCGTTCCAAAAAGAAACGTTCATGAATTTTAATCTCATCTTTCTGCTTGGCGATTTTGCCACCCGAAATCTCGGTCTGGCCCCAAAGCGATGCCGGTGGCGAACTGCGTGTGCTCACGGGCTCCGCAGTCACCTGCCACCTTCCCGCGGCTGTGGAAGGTGGTTTGCTCTAGGAAACGCTTTCCACATTTTTGAGTGGAAAGAGGTTTTCCACAAAGGTCTTAATTCATTCTGGAATCAAAGTGCATACGTGCCGATTGTTTCTCAAAATGGGAAGCGATGGCCAGCCCCTTGCTCGGAGGACCTGCTTCTGCCCCCAGGGTCAGTGGCCTCAGGGGACAGGTAACATTTGCAAATTTAGTGTCAGGCGTGGGGCCCCCCAGGGGCCCGTCAGGCAGGGAAAGGGCCCTTCCCTGGCTCGGCTGCCCCTCAGGACGCCCCCTGACCTGTGCCTGGCCTTTATTTTTTATGCTCATGTGACTGTGATCCAACCATGATGGAAGGTGCAGGCTTGATGAGTATCACCTGACATTTTTCAATAAAGTACCACAAAACGCTTTCGTGTCCTTTGTTGTGACTCCCTGGGAGCTGGACTTAATGACCACACATCACCAAGGTGTTCAGAGCAGGTGGCCAGCAAAGGTTACTGCTCAGAAGGCCCTGCTGGGTGACAAAGGCTGAGGCGTGCACAGGCCGAGTCCAACCAAGTGTGTCTGGAAGTTGCTTCCTAGGCGACAGCCCGTAAGTAACCCAGTGCCGTTCCCTCGATCATTAAGACCCTGGCACATCTGAGCTGGGGGTCTAGAGTCTTGACATCTGTGAGGCTCCTGCAGGGGGAGAGGAAGAATTTTCCTTAAAACGCCTGCCTTTCACAAAAAGAGTAGAAAGCCATGCCTAACAGGTTGACAGAAAGGCCAGATCGAATGGCTTTGAGAGGCCAGCCCAGTTGCAGACAGGGAGGGAATTCCTTCGTGCCCAAGGAAGTCCTTTTGCAAGAGCCACCTGTGTAGAGAAGTGAGCAGGGCGCTGTATTTCCTGTCTCCCCCAACCTCTTGTCCTTTTCCAAGTCTTGTCCAGCCTGCCCTCCTCCAGTGGACCCTACCGGTGGCAGGGGTTTCTAGCGTGAAGAGTCCATGGAGTCCCCTCCAGTCTACTGTAGCAGATCAGAGTCATTGGGGCGGGGTGGATAAAAAGGAATCAAAAGGACATTTTCAAACACCGTAAAATTACAATAGCTGAGAATTTGACTCCAGCTCCTGGATTATCTGAAATGCGTTTCCCGGCTGCTCCTAAACTTGTCTATGATGTATCAGTTAAAATTGGGGGGGGCGGGAAGGAAACTGTCAAGGCAAAATTCAAACAGATTCTACAAGACCCCACTCTGTTCTTACAACTTGTTGTAACATTAAATTTATTTTCAAATTAAAAAAAATCACATTAAACTCTTCATTACAATGCTTTCTCACCTCAGTTAAAAGGGTTTTTACTTTGGGGTTTTCTATAACTTTCAGGGGAAGTAAGATTTCTCTTTTCTGTGACACATAGTACCTTTGTCAAAAATACATCCGCTCAAAAGCTTCCTAGTCATTACAAATACATACATACTCTTTACTATGTAAAACTATTCTGTAAAAATGTTTGAATATGAATAAAAATACTGTAACCAAAAAGGGTTGCCTATTTTTAAAATTGAAACCTGTAAAAAAAAAAAAAACAATGAATCCGAACTCTACAGAAAGTCTTAAAGTTTATTTTGGTAAACTTGCTTTTATAGGCATTGGTTTAAAATACTTTTCAGAGACAATTCCTTGAAAAGCTAAAAATGCAAAGGTTTACACTTTTATTTCAAATATGCATAGTCATTATCCAGGAAAAAGCTTTCTCCATTTTCTGCCTATTAAGCCAGCAGGTCAGCAGGACGCAAGCCTGAAATGTCTCCCTTTCATTCTACACTGCTGGGTGAGGCGGGCTTGTCTCCTGGCCCCAAGACGCGAGGGTGGGCAGGGGGGCTGCCCGCAACCCCCACCTGGCCTGTGTACCCTACCCGTTGAGCCACTTGCTCCCACATCAGGCACAATCAACCACAGACCAGCAAACCCCGCTCTCTTATGCTGGACCCAAATTCTTCCTGCTCTGACCACCCCTCTGACAGCTGCCAGGGTATCCCCGCGCCAGGGAGCTCTGCTGAGCAGGGATCCCATCCTGCCAAGCCCAGACATCGCTGTGCCCTATTTCAGGGTTCACCTCCCCTTGAGTTCCTCTGTAGTATGCTACCATACCAGAAGGGAGGATGCCTTGTCTTCTATAGAACCCTACAGATTCTCAACGCATAGCCTCGAAACTGGAGACAGTTCAGCGCCCCAACAGCACACGTCAATCCTGAGTTTGTTGGGTCTCCAGATGGAGAAGAAAATGCAAAGCTTCTGTTAAGACTTTAAAGATCCTCGATCACAGATTTCTGGGCACATAAATGTCCCAGATCTATGACAAACAGAAAGGTTGCCCTAATGCTAACAGCCACAGGTAAAATGCCTTTCTCCAGCTGCTCTATAGGAAGCAGAATTTTAAACGTCTTTGGTTCATCAGAAGCAAAAATCAGGTTGATGAAAAATGCAGCATCAGCTTCAGGTTTGTTTTGTCTTGCTCGGGACCACTGGGTGTCGGGACTAGGAAGAAGAGTCTTAGAAGCGCAGAGCAGAGCGATACACCCCAACATTGCCGTCCGCTGTGACACAGCCACACCTCATTAGTTTTAATTTACCAAAAGGAAATTAAATGATAACATTTTCCCCCAAAGGAGAACTGTCTAGAATAGGGCTTCGGCTTAAAACAAAACATAGCATGTTTTTCATTAAATAACCCCCCACCCCCAAAGAGCCTCAGAAAGCAATGATGGCAGTTCTGAGCGATGACTTGCTTTATATTGCAAAGTTTGAGAAATGAAACTTGCGACATTTGCGGGAGATGGTTCTTCCTGGTGATATTTTGCAGACGCCCTGTCGAGGGGGAGTCCATTTCGTAATTTGGGGGTGATGTGGACATTTATGTAAACCTGCCACTAATTCCCAATGAAGACTTGAGTATTTAGGAGATACTTTTTTTTTTTTTCTGAGAAAACTAATTCTCATTGAAGCCTTATTTGCAAAAATTGCTTTTGAAGTTCTTTTAAAGTTTCATTTCCAAAAAACACATATTGGACTAGTATACTTAACTAAACATGTTATTTTTTTCCTTCCTATGGGGCGCTGTGTGCTTGGCTTAAGGTAGACAGAATTTATACTGAAAACCACAAGTTTCTGGAATGAGCCAGACGGGTGAGGGCTGGCTAAAGAGGGGGCTGGGTGCACTGAGGGGGTTCTGTTCAAAGCTGAGAGCTTGGGGAGATTTTTTTCCATTGATTTCAGTTGGAACTGGCAAGAAGAGAGAAAAGTGGACAAAAACGGGTCTTTTAAGGCCGAGGAGCAGTGTGGTTCCCCAGTTCCAGAGACAGGAGTGCCGTGGGAAGCGCACGGACATCTGGACCGAGCATGTGCACATCAAAGGCTTCCTTCCTTTTGTTCTTCAGGGAGATTTTAGGGCATCAGATTTGAACATCTTCCAAGGCTTCACACGCTCGGGTGCGCACACAGCATGGCCAATGGTGGCATTATAGATCAGTAACAATTTTTTTGTGGCAATACAGAAAAAAGGGGGCCGAAAAGTATGGTTTACAGTGAAATACCAGAACTGTACTGCATTCTCGCACCCCACATTTCAAAGCAAGCCTGGAACGGGCCTGAAGGTCCGGTCTCTGTGGAAGAGTAGGCGAGGGGGCCTACAGCCCCACGGGGCACAGCCCAGGCCAGCACCCTCCATCCCAGCAAGGCTTCACCAACACCCCAGAATGTGCAATGTTACATAAGAAGGGAGCGCTTTTAAAATAATGTCAACTTCATTAGCTGGTTTCCTCCACAAGGTCCCCCAGTCACCGTACCGCGGTGGGGGGGGGAGGGGGGACATGTCCCTGCAGCTGTGGCCTTAATGGCACTGAGCCGCCAAGCGCCAGACCTGGAAGGGCCCTTAACGTAAGTCACTTTCTCTTTGCTTCACTCACAAAAATTAAAACATCTGCGAAGTGCCAGCATATGGCCCACAGGAAACCCCCTCCCTGCTGCATCGAAACGGGCGCGAAATGGCATACTGGCCTGGGTCCCACAGGTCATTTGCTGTACTTGTCTTAGTCTAGGGATAAAGGCTTCTACTGCTGGAAAAGTAGTTTGAATGATTCCACCGCTGCTTCCACAGGCAAACATTTCGGGCAGGAGGAGAACCCGCAACACACCTGCAGGCCCAAGAAGGAAGCCGACTCGCTCACGCCTAGTGCCAAGCGCCAGCCCTCCACGGAGAAAATCTTCCAACACCGAGATGACCCCAGACAGAAGCAAACGAAGAGATGGACAGACTCTTGCCGGCAGGGAGTAAAAATCCACCTGCACTCACTCCCAGCTGCTTCTACAGACGTGTGGGCTGGATCCGGGGTCTGTCCCAACCCACCCCGCACCCCGAGCCTAGCGCTGCTTGGGGATAATGAGGTTCCTGAGCATGTCGAAGGAGTTCCCGTCCGGGTGCACCGTCTCCACCTTGCCGCCCTCCTGGTGAACCTGCAGGTACCCCGAGTCGTCCAGGCCGACCACGGACACCTCTGGCCCCTCGACCCCGCCCAGCCGGACCCGCTGAGCGCTGAAACAGAAAAAAAACACATGGTGACCACACGTCGTCACACAGGACTCGAGGTGGACAGGTCAGTGCCCGTCCTCGGGGCCCAGGGGCCGGGGGCTGCGGGGCTGCAGGGGCGCGGGACCGGCCGACACACGCCTGGCCGCCGCCCGGCTTCCTCACTACAGCAGGTCCTTGAACAGCGGCCTACGGGCCAGTGCTGTGAAGTGGGTGAGGGAAGCAAGCCGACTCCCGGGCAGGGCTCCGGCTGGGGTGTCGGCGGAGACTCACTGCGTCGGTGCAGGATTCCGCCAGGGCAAGTGCCTGTTTGCTAGAGTGGGGACCCCTGGAGCCCTGAGCCGCTGAAAGTGGCTCCAGCCACTGTGTGAGGACAAAGAATAACGGACATGTCAGGGATGAAAGAAGCAAGGGGCAGGCAGCTAGCAGAGTGTAGCCCCCGAGGGGAGGAAATTCTCAAGGGAAAGGCTCCGCGCTCAGCATCGGCTCAACAATGGTTGAACATCAGAAATTTGGGGTCATCAGCTGCTTGGGGATGTTCTGTGACCAGAACTCCGCAGGAGGAACCTGACTCTGGCTGAGACTGGCCAGCCGGCGGGCCAGGTGACAGGGCCCCGATGGGTGAGGCCTCAACCCACGGGCGGGCTGGAGGGAACGTGCTTTCTCGCAGGACCCGGGCAACAAAGGCCCGGGCCAAGCTGGGAGTCTGTCCACCCCGTCCTGCCCGCCCAGGAGGACGGTTTGTGCCCTTCCCCCATCCTCTGACACTTTCGGGAAACACTGAGCCGTTGTCCAGGATTTTGCCTGAAATGGGCCTGTTCCTGCCGGAGCCGAAAAAGTTTTCTCCTCTGAAACAAAGCTGGGCGGCCACGTAAAAGAGAAATGCGTTCGGATTCTACCACTGATTCGTTCTGATGACTCTCCAAACGGACCTGCTGAGTTCCCTCCTGGGGAACAGCTTTAAAAGGATCGACTCATCCCCCCATTTTATTTTGAAGAAATACAGAAAAGTTGAAAAAACAGTGCAAGGAAGCACCACGCTCCCCTTGGCTTATCCTCACAGTGACGGAAGCTGCTCCTGTACCCGCGCTCTATCTGCTCTGGCCTCCAGCTCCCCCTTCCTGTGCTGGTAGTTGAACCTAAGGGCGGCGTCAGCATCTGGCCCTTGACATGGCAGAGCGTCAGCGTGGCCTCCTAGGGGTAAGAGCCACCTCCTGCAGGGCCCAACCCAGCCCCCACCAAGCTGTGAGCCGTCCACAGCTTAGCCCAAGTCCCTCCACTGTCTGTCCATGTCCTTTGTGGCTTTCACTCTCCTCCCATCGGGACCTAGTGAGGGGTCCACACCGCACTAACTGCCTGTCCCTCTGTTCTGCTCTCATCCTTGACCATCCCCACTTCTCTGGTTTAAGTCATTGCTATTGGTGGAGGGCCAAGGCCTGTGGGTACCGGCTGCAGACACGTGAGCATCGCTGGAATATTTGCTAAAACACAAACGCAGGCCCTCTAGGCGGGCCGGGTGCTGCATCTTACGACGCTCCCAGGCGGGGCAGCCGCTGTGCTTGGAGCCTCACTTTGAGGACAACTGTCGTCTAGAACGTGCCGCAGAGAACACCGTTTATGTCCTCAGAGCCAGGCCCAGTTCAGACCCTCGGGGAGCCCCTGTGCTGATGCCGGGACCCCCCCGCCCAGCACCAGGAGGCACGGGGAGGCATGCTAACTTGCTCACCACCAAAAAAGAATGATGGAGACCAGCGCTTAGCTTCTCACTTTCAGACCCTGGGCTACTTAGTATGAATCTGGAGAGAACGCGGCTGGCGGCACTGACCTGTGCACCCAGTACTTATAGTAAAGCGGAAGGATGCCGTCCGGCCCCCTGTCCTGGAACGAGTCGATGAGCCTCTCCAGCTGGGTCACGGCCCTGGCCAGGAGGCAGTCGGTCCGCAGGGGCGGCAGGTCGGTCCCCTGCTGCTTGTTATGCTCCGAGACCAGGTCGTTGATGCAGATGGTGGGGTTACTGTTGGTCACGTTGAATCCGCAGCCTGGACAAAAACAAAGCGGACACTGAAAGCCAGCAGCAGTTCCACCTGGAGAAGGCCGAGCCCTCGGCCGCCAGGAGCCGGCCACGGTGGCCACTGCTCGCTGCTCCTTTCCTTATCTCGGCTGTCCGGTCTCTGGCCACGCAGACGGCCTCTCTGAAGCCCACCTTCCATCCTTGCTTCCCTACTCTGGTTCAAACTGAGGCCGCCCCGTAAGGTGGGGAAGTGACTGGGGTCAGAAAACATAGGCCTCGCCGGGTTCGTGAGGAGCCAGGGGTGAGACACCAGTGGTGGCTTCTGCAGGAACCGTGCCCTGTGTTCCAGGCGCACCCCCGAGCTCGCGGGGAGTCGGGGAGGCCACCGGACGGAGCTAAGGAGCAGAGGCCGGATTCAGAGACCCAGGCCCTGCTTGCCGAGGGGGGGGGGCGCAACGGCAGCGGCTGCAAAGGTCAGGCTGGGCTCCGCTCCTGGCCAGGGCCCGGCGGGCCCAGGGCTCCCCACCAAGGCTGCGGGCCAGTGAGCAGCCAGCAGTGAGGTCCCAACAGGCCCGTCCCTGCTGCTACGCGACACACCGTCCCCACCCAGAGAGGATGGTGTCTTTCGGAGGTGTGGACTCTCCTCCCACAGGGCCGTGAGTCGGCCTCAAAGGGGTCGTGAGCCAGGCGCCCACGCCGGAGAAGCAGTGCAACAGTCGCATCTCTTTCAGGGTGTCCAGGAAAAACCCCAAAATACTGGGTCAGAGGGAGCGATGCGATTTACAGTCCCTGTTCTCTGGTAACTGTTCTGGGCCACTGTCAGTGTAAACGGGAGGACTGATTAGCTGCATTAAAAACAACATAAATCATGGCCCTCCCTGGTGGCGCAGCG